AGGGTCCCATTTGCAAATGATGATTGGTTCCAAGACAAGTTACCAGTGTTGCGCGTTATCGCATCATACCCTGGTTCACCTTCAAAAAAACATCGTGAAAAATTCCCCCATCATGCGACTCTTAATATGGACCACTGTTTGCGGCTGTCACACGCGGAAGCCTTGTTGGAAAATTTACCCTCTTCGCTTGGAATCAGAAAGCGTAAAGATGTTAATGTTGATACTCCGACGAAGCGGCAGCATACATAGCCTAGCCTGTATTAGTTAAAAATAGTACAATTCATGTGTTTGGGGGTGCTTTTCCCCTATCGACACACGGCCCCAGCAGAGTTCAAAAAGTCATTGTAGACAACCACACATCTTGTAATATACTAAACCAGCAGCCCCAGTGTTTCTGTTTAGGGACCACAGACTGGGTAATACTATACTATACTATACTAATCCTTATATATATGTGAAGACAGGTCTATTAGAAAGCTTAGGGAAAATGAAGTGGACCTTGAGTTTGGACTAGTATTGAAGATGGATTGGACACAATCTGTACAGAGACAAAAGAAAAGGCACAGGGTGAGGGATCAGTCTTGGACAGGAGATCAGTCATCCTGTTACTTTTTTTGATTTGACATACTATTATGAGATGATTAGTTTATTAACAGACAAACCATGAGACAATGACTTCATAATGTCTCAGTTAGAATACATACAATATAAGGACAAGAGACACTGAGCAGTCAATCATTACCTCACCCCTTGTCTATACATGCCCCTCTTAAGTTTTCCCTCTGAACAGGTTATAAGCCTTAAGCTCTCTACATACATGTATCTGTTACAGTTCTCCACTCTTGTACCTTCAGTTCCAAGGGTTCTGCACCCTTCTGTACTGGAACTCAGGACTTCTGTCCCTCAGGGGGTACTGTCTATGGACTATATGTGTACTGACTCTTGCTACTACCCTTCCTTACTTTATTATTCCATTCCTTTGACCACCCCTTTATTCTTTGTATTATTCTATAGTCTCTTACCCTTTGTCCATCCCTTCATTCTTTGTACCTTTATCTTTGACATTCCTTTCTTTCATTCTTTATGGCTTATCATTCTTAAGTGGCTCATACTCTCTGAGTGCTCTTGTGTAGTTTAGTATATATAGGTGTATAAGATCAGACTAGTCCTGTAGTCTTGATCTTGTCTACTCTAGGTAGTCCTGTACTCTTAGGCTCACTCTATATACTCTACTCTTGTCTCACTCTCTCTCTCTGCCTGTTCTGCAAGTTCTGACTATGTTTTAGTGCTCACATTCTGTATTTCTGTTGTGTAGGATAGTTGTAGCCTGGGTCCCCTTACTGAGCCTTCAGGTCCCCTCTACACTGTTGCTGACATCAGATCAAGACTACTCATTACCACCCTACAACTCTCCTACATTTTGAGCATTAGTACTCACTATTGTGTCAATCTCTTTTCTTTGTCCTGACCCTTCTACATTTTTAAATTTTAAACTCTCTAAACCCCTTTTAAACTTTTGCCACCCTTCTTCTATTCATTACCCCTTTTAGTTTAGTGCTGATTCCTTTGTAGTGTAAACATAGACTCTCCTACACCAACTGCTACCCCTACTGTCCTACTAGATTAGTAGTTACAAGCAGAACTAGCTTAATATGTATAAACCTCTATCTAAGAGGCCTTTACCAACCACATGCCCTCAGCCTCTTTAGAACCTGTTCCAATTGTTCTGGAAGTTGCAACTTGTTCTAGAAAGAAAGTACATGTAGCCTACCCTTCAGACTTTAATGAGTAACACTTTAAGGACTTCTAATACTAAGTCAAACTATATGTAGCTACTACTTTGACTAATCTATCCTCAGATCTTAATCACATCTTATTTGTCCTCTCCTTCATAAAGGAAGGTAACACAGCCACCTGGGCCTAGAACTGGATTGAAGGCTATTAGATTAGAAGCCTAATCTGACTTTAGAACAATAAGTTGTACTTGGAATTCATAGGGCAGCTCTGTGCTTCCTTCATTGATCCAAATGAGAAGTACAATACACAGAACAAGCTTGCATCTCTGTAACAGGGCAAACATTCTGCTAATACCTTCTTTCAGGAGTTCAATATCCTAGCCTGGAAGGTAGGATTCATGCTTGGGTTTAATAATGTCCTCATTAGAATGCTTGAAAAAGCTCTTCACCCAGAACTAATTGATAAGATTCTCAGAATGACACTAGAACTAGTCACTTACACTGAGTAGAAGATGTGTACTATCTCCTTCAACCAAGCTGTAGCTTGGATGTGTCAAGTCTGTGTAGAATGTTTACACATGTGTCTGGCTCTAACAGTTCTGAGCCCTCAGATCAATCTGCCCATAATTTGTAATCAATCTGTTCTGATAGATATTAGAGAAGCCTAAAAGTAAGGAGTATGCTTTACCTACAGAAAGTCAGAGCACCAGATTAAGGACTGTCTACAGAAGTGACAGTATATCTGTCAGGTCATTAGAGTAATAATGAGTGACAAGTAGGATTTGTAGTAAGAAGCCTTTTCTACAAATCTGAAAGTCACCTTAAAACTCCTAGACTCTGACTATGTACTCTAGGATTTTGTAGAGGCCCAACAGTGAATGTAGTACTGAAGGGCTATGACTTGGATTTTTTAATAGTCACTTTTGATTCAATAGACACTGTAGGATTAGAAGTAAATAAAGTAAGAAAAGTAGAAAAAGTAGAAAAAATAAATCAACAAAATTATTTATTAGAAAGAAAAAAGTCAGAAACAAAAGTAGAGAGTTCTCCTATTTCTTCTGATTCTTTTGATTCTTCTCTTCACACTTCATCTGAGTCTAAATCTGTACAATCCAACCTGTCACTTGTGTGTTCTAAGATCTCAGAACATTCAGAACACTACTCAGCCCTGTTCACTACTTAGTAGTTTGTCTATAGTATTAAGTAGGGATAGTCTCAGCTAAGTTCACAGCTAAGGACATGAGTCCATCCTTGTTGAAAGAGAGAGGTTAATAAGGAAATGTTAGTACATATACTTACTCTCTTGGACAACAAGGCTGTACAAGCTGTACATTCCCTTCAGAACAAGTAGCAGTTCATCCAAGGACATTCTAGACACTAGCTCCAAGTCCCTGTCCTCTTGGCTCCCTTCTTAGAATCCTCTCAGATCTGAACAACAGCTCTAGTAGACAGTAGATACACTAGTTCATACATTAATAAGGCCTTTGTGTAGGAACACTACCTCCCTACTCAACACATTCTACTTCTGATCCTAATATACAATACAGACAGAACCCTGAACTGGAATGGTTGGATCACTAAGTTTGTCCAACTATAGATGACCATTCAGGATTATGAGGAAAGTATTGAGTTTAGAGTCACTAACCTTAGAAAGACAGACATCTTCATTAGATTTGAATGGCTCAAGGCTTACAACCCTACCATTGACTGGTTAGAGTAGACACTCATGTTCAATCAGTGTCCTAAGTCTTACAGCTACCTTACACTACTGTTCTAAGTGGATGTGAACACTTCTAATGTTACTAACAGTTCTAATAAAGGTGACTAGTTGT